AGTGGTTTGCTTGAAAGTTCACAATGGTGTGAACCCGCGCTAAATGAAAAGCAAAAGTTTAAAAAAAATCTATATATATATTGGTTACTTTTTGCTATAAAAAATATCCAAAAGATTACATTTCATAAATTTAGGCAAAAATGTATTCTACTACATCTTTGGTAAAAAAAAAAACCATCACAATACGTGTACCGTATATTAATTGGTTTGCGTGAAAGTTCACATTGGTGTGAACCCTGGCTGAATGAAAACCGCAAGTTTAAAAAAAACAATAATTTTTACTTTTTGCTATAAAACATATCCAATAAATAAAAAGTTTCATAAATTTAGGACAAAATGTATTCTACTACATCTTCGGTAAAAAAAAAAAAAAATTAAAAATCCCAATACGTGTATATTAATTGGTTTGCGTGAAAGTTATAGCGTCTACAAATGGCGGTATAGATACTGGAACTTTTTTTTTTTTTTTTTAATACTAGTAATGGTGGTGATCAGCAACTTACAGCAGGACTGCGGGGGGCATTCTGACACTAGGGGGGAACTAAGGCAGGCCATACACTATACAATTTTCTGTCCAATTTCTGCCCAATTTCTTTTAAATTTACCTTCAACTATGTAGTGTAAGGGACTGCCTACTTGGATACAACTGAAATTGTTGTATAGCTTTGACCTCCTATTATATGGTTTATGGTAAATTTAAAGGGGCCCCCGGGCAATAGGGGATCAGGGGCCCCTGTGTCCTCACCTACACTCAAACCACACCAAAAAAAGCCCATGAAAGGTGCCAGGGGCATCTCATGGGGCGCCCGAGGGCCCAGGCTCAGTCGGGGGCCCCATGAGATGCCCCTGGCACCTTTCATGGGCTTTTTTTGGTGTGGTTTGAGTGTGGGGTGGGGGTGTCTGTGACAGTTAGGCTGGCCATACATTATCGGGCGGACTGATAATGTATGGCCAGCCTAACTGTCACAGACACCCCCAGTGGTATGAATAAAATGCACTGACACTGTACTAATGGCACTGGGCAGGAAGGGGTTAACATCGGGGGTGATCAAAGGGTTAACTGTGTGCTGGGAGCGTGACTAATGTGTACTATGTTGTGTATTACTAGAGGATGTGCTGGTTTTTATCTCCTTGCTTTGCAGAGAGATAAAATGCAGCACGTTCCCGCTGATAGGAGAGAGATCTGTGCCGCTTACACTCGCTGATCTCTCCCGTCAGCTGCGCCGCCGATCACCGAGTCCTGGACATGAATCGCTGCCCGGGACCCGGAGGATGACCTCTTCGGGAGCCAATGACAGCGTGGGTAGGGCAGCACCATCTACCTGGAAATGTGAAATCACATCTATTGTCCTATAAAATTGTCCATCCAAATTAAAAAAAATATTCTTCCACGTACAGCCAATCAAGTCTATGGATTAATCTTACCACCGATACGGGAAATGGGTTCTCTGATATTCTTCCACGTACAGCCAATCAAGTCTATGGATTAACCTTACCACCGATACGGGAAATGGGTTCTCTGATATTCTTCCACGTACAACCAACCAAGTCTATGGATTAATCTTACCACCGATACGGGAAATGGGTTCTCTGATATTCTTCCGCGTATAACCAACCAAGTCTATGGATTAATCTTACCACCGATACGGGAAATGGGTTCTCTGATATTCTTCCACGTACAACCAACCAAGTCTATGGATTAATCTTACCACCGATACGGGAAATGGGTTCTCTGATATTCTTCCACGTACAACCAACCAAGTCTATGGATTAATCTTACCACCGATACGGGAAATGGGTTCTCTGATATTCTTCCACGTACAACCAACCAAGTCTATGGATTAATCTTACCACCGATATGGGAAATGGGTTCTCTGATATTCTTCCACGTACAACCAACCAAGTCTATGGATTAATCTTATCACCGATACGGGAAATGGGTTCTCTGATATTCTTCCACGTACAGCCAATCAAGTCTATGGATTAATCTTACCACCGATACGGGAAATGGGTTCTCTGGTATTCTTCCGTAGCAATTTGTATCAGACAATTGCCATTTTATTTGACGACCATTTTCCACTAGTAGTACAATATATCCCCTCTTATCGTTTGCTTTGATATTATTTCTTTTTTATTTTGTAACTCTTAAAGGTCTTGCCTTTCCTTCTTTGTAAGGTTACCCATTGTCATAGTTATATAGTAATGCAGGCCATAGACAGGGAGAAAAAAACGGCTGTTTTAAAAAAAAAAAAAAAAAAAAAAAAAAAAAAAAAAAAAATCGGTCATTCAATCGACCGACATTACCACCATTGGTAAGAAAAAAATTTCTGATTTTCATCCTGTCTACGGCTGGCAAATCTAATAGTGGTGCCCCTGCAGAGAGCTCCGCTATTATATTTGACATTTAAAAGTATAGCAAAGTTGCAACATTGTATCTATTTGTATCTATTTCGGATACAGATGTTTCTATTCGGATACAAATAGATACAATGTTGCAACCGCTATACTTTTAAATGTCAATTATAATAGCGAAGCTCTCTGCAGGGACACCGCTATTAGATTTGACATTTCTAAGTATTGCGGTTGCAAACATTGTATCTATTTGTATCCGAATAGAAACATCTGTATCCGAAATGGATACAAATAGATACAATCTTTGAAGCGCAATACTTAGAAATGTCAAATCTAATAGCAGTGTCCCTGCAGAGAGCTCTGCTATTATATTTGATATTTAAAAGTATAGCGGTTGCAACATTGTATCTATTTGTATCCGAATAGAAACATCTGTATCCGAAATGGATACAAATAGATACAGATATTCTTTTTCTTTGGTCATGGCTCATGCGCATTTTTTTTAATCGGAAAAAAAAAACGGCCGATTTGCCCATCATTGCCGTGAAAATCAGCCGATGGGTAAAATCGGCAGGTTTTTTTTCCAACATGACCAATTAAAAAATGTGTCAAAATCAAGAAAACAGGCTAACCAATTAAGCCACTAACGATCCGAAAATCGGCCGATTATTCTTTTGGACGAATTTTCGGCCGGTTTTCTCCCCCTCTATGGCCTGCATTAGTCTGGCTGAAAAAAGACAAACGTCCATCCAGTTCAATTATTGAAAAAAAAAAAAATTATAATCCTACACCCACAGTTGATCCAGAGGAAGGCAAAAAAAAACCCAACAAAGCACGATCCAATTTGCTCCTGCAGGGGAAAAAAATTCCTTCCTGATCCCCCGAGAGGCAATCGGATATTCCCTGGATCAACTTTACCTATAAATGTTAGTAGTTCAGGACTAATTGATTTCCTGAATTTTCTTCTGTGATGACCTGGAGGAACATCGGAACATTGCTAAGGTTTTCCATATATTCAAGAGTGGCATCGGGTTTTTTTTTTAAATAAAGTTAGTATATTTAGAACCCATTACCTGTTCCTCACTTTCTTCCTCGATGTCAAAATCCACCTCGTTATGTCTAACTTTAACCAATAGTCATCAACTACATTCCGTAATTTTTCATCCTCTTCCTTCATTGCCCCATCACCACCCACAGTGTTCTTTTTCTGATTTAATAAATAATCTGAACACAAAAGAGGGATATGAACAATAAATAGACGTATCGGTAAAAGAAGGATCTGTCTTGATATACACTATATTGCCGGAAGTATTGGTCAGCCGGCCTTTCCACGCACATGACCTTTAATGGCCCCCCAGTCTTAGTCCGTAGGGTTCAATATTAAGTTGGCCCCGCCCTTTCCACGCACATAACCTTTAATGGCCTCCCAGTCTTAGTCTGTAGGGTTCAATATTGAGTTGGCCCCACCCTTTCCACGCACGTGACCTTTATGGGCCCCCCAGTCTTAGTCCGTAGTGTTCAATATTGAGTTGGCCCCGTTGGACCATTCTTCCAAAAGCACATTTGTCAGGTCAGGCACTGATGTCGGGGGAGGAGGCCTGGCTCGCAGTCTCTTTAATTCATCCCAGAGGTGTTCTGTGGGGTTGATGTCAGGACTCTGTGCAGGCCAATCAAGTTCCTCCACCCCAAACTGCTCCTCCATGTCTTTATGGACCTTGCTTTGTGAACTGGAGCGCAGTCATGTTGGAACAGGAAGGGGCCATCCCCAAACTCTTCCCACAAAGTTGGGAGCATGAAATTGTCTAAAATGTCACCTTAAGAGTTCCCTTCACTGGAACTAGGGGGCCAAGCCCAACCCCTGAAAAACAGCTCCACACCATAATCCCCCCTCCACCAAACTTTACACTTGGCACAATGCAGTCAGGCAAGTACCGTTCTCCTGGCAACCGCCAAACCCCGACACGCCCATCGGATTGCCAGACAGAGAAGCGTGATTGGTCACTCCAGAGAACATGTCTCCCCTGCTCTAGAGTCCAGTGACGGTGTGCTTTACACCACGGCATCCGACGCTTTGCATTGCACTTGGTGATGGAAGGCTTGGATGCAGCTGCTCGGCCATGGAAACCCATTCCATGAAGCTCTCTATGTACTGTTGTTGGGCTCATCTGAAGACCACACCAAGTTTGGAGGTCTTTAGCTATTGACTCTGCAGACAGTTGGTGACTTCTGTGCACTGTGCGCTTCAGCATGCGCTGACCCCGCTCTGTCATGTAACGTGGCATACCACTTCATGGCTGAGTGGCTGTTGTTCCCAGTTGCTTCCACTTTGTTATAATCCCACTAACACGGGACCACGCTTGGAGTCACTGAGCTCCTGAGAGCGACCCATTCTTTCACCAATGTTTGTAGAGGCAGTCTGCATGCCTAGGGGCTTGATTGTATACACCTGTGGCCATGGAGGGGATTGAAACATGATTTGGAGGGCGGGCCCATGACTTTTGGCAATATAGTGTATCTCAAACTCATTTCCTACTGCTATTGAAGCAAAGCCAAGTCCTCTGTTGGAGGGACTAACCAGTTCCATGGGTTAAATGCCAGCAGACGGTTGTCAACAGATTAAACAGCTACACGTACTTGTATCATTACATTTACTTTGTGTGTGAAACATTTCCCGCACTTTCACCAGTGTGAGTTCTCTGGTGATTACGAACATTCCTTTTCTCATAAAAAGATTTCCCGCACTCTGAACATGAATAAGGACGTTCACCCGTGTGTCTCCTCTGGTGTGCAAGAAGTTTTCCTTTCTCGATGAAACATTTCCCACAGTCAGGGCACATAAAAGGACGCTCGCCGGTGTGAGTTTTCTGGTGTCTACGAAGTTTTTCTTTGTAATTGAAACTTTTCCCGCAAACTGAGCATAAAAAAGGATAATCACCCGTGTGAATTCTCTGGTGTATACGGAGTTCTGCTTTCCGAGAGTAACATTTCCCGCACTCTGAACAGGAATACGGACGCTCCCCTGTGTGAGTTCTCTGATGTCTACGAAGGTCTCCTTTTTGAATGAAACATTTCCCGCACTCTGAACACGAGAAAGGCCGCTCGCCTGTGTGACTCCTCTGGTGTGTAAGAAGCACACTTTTCTCAGTGAAAGATTTCCCACAATCGGAACAGGAAAAAGGACGTTCACCCGTGTGAATTCTCTGATGCGTAAGAAGCACGCTTTTCCCAGTGAAACATTTTCCGCACTCTGAGCAGGAAAAAGGACGTTCGCCCCGTGTGAATTCTCTGGTGTGAAAGGAGGTGTGCTTTATGTATGAATCGTTTCCCACACTCTGAGCATAAAAAAGGACGCTCACCCGTGTGAATTCTCTGGTGCCTAAGAAGGTCTGCTTTGTGAATGAAACATTTTCCGCACTGTGAACAAGAATAGGGACGCTCTCCTGTGTGGCTTCTCTGGTGTCTAACGAGGTTTCTGTTGTCGCTGAAAGATTTCCCACACACCGGGCAGGACATTGAACGCTTTCCTGTGTGAACTCCATCATGGCTAAGAGAAGATGTCTTGGGATTCGTTGGATCTGTTGGCCTATTGGGTTGCAGATGGATATCTGAATTTGTAGTAGAAGATTCCACAGGAATGGAGGGATCTCTTGGTCTTCCCATGCTGGAAGGTCTGTGATATGTAGCTGGAGAAATAGATTTTACGTCTGAATATTGTGCAATGTCATGGTCTTCTGCGTTAGAAGCTGGAGATATTATGGGATTTCCGTCTGAGATATTTATATTCCATACATCTGTTGGAAATAATTTTAAAGATCATATGTGTTCTTCACGTCCCGCATTCAGAAGTCATATATGTTGGTCTAGCACTCAACAGTAACCGTGCAAAGAGACTATTGTATTAATGGAGATGGATGGTCACTGATTTGTAATGAAAACATACTAAAGAATGAGATGGACCTACCTCCACCTCACTGATTGGAGTAATGAAAACATACTAAAGAATGGAGATGAGATTACCTACCTCCACCTCACTGAAAAACATAATGGAGTAAGGAAAAGAAAACATACTAAAGAATGGAGATGGACCTACCTCCACCTCACTGACTGGAGTAATGAAAACATAATAAAAAATGGAGATGGACCTACCTCCACCTCACTGACTGGAGTAATGAAAACATACTAAAGAATGGAGATGGACCTACCTCCACCTCACTGACTGGAGTAATGAAAACATACTAAAGAATTGAGATGGACCTACAGTACCTCCACCTCACTGACTGGAGTAATGAAAACATACTAAAGAATGGAGATGGACCTAACTCCACCTCACTGACTGGAGTAATGAAAACATACTAAAGAATGGAGATGGACCTACCTCCACCTCACTGACTGGAGTAATGAAAACATACTAAAGAATGGAGATGGACCTACAGTACCTCCACCTCACTGACTGGAGTAATGAAAACATACTAAAGAATGGAGATGGACCTACCTCCACCTCACTGACTGGAGTAATGAAAACATACTAAAGAATGGAGATGGACCTACCTCCACCTCACTGACTGGAGTAATGAAAACATACTAAAGAATGGAGATGAACCTACCTCCGCCTCACTCAGTGGAGTAATGAAAACATACTAAAGAATGGAGATGGACCTACCTCCACCTCACTGATTGGAGTAATGAAAACATACTAAAGAATGGAGATGGACCTACCTCCCCTCACTCAGTGGAGTAATGAAAACATACTAAAGAATGGAGATGGACATTTCATACAGTGTACAGCAGTGGTGGACAACCTTCTAGAAATAGGTAGACCTAAGTGTGGCCCCTGACATCACCAAAAGTCCACACAGGATATTCAAATACTGTCACAGACTGTGGACATTTTACAGTAGATCTTTAGAGACTATAGCTGGGGGTGAGAGAGAGAAAACGTGCTACAAGAGAAGCTGGAGAGTATGATGCAGGACACAATCAGAGCCTAGGAATACTTTATGGGAGGCTGCTATTAGTGCCCCTATATTTGACATGTCTCATCCATTATAAGATGTAGGAAAAAAAAGCAATACATAAAAGCAGAAAAAGGGGGATAAAAAGCAAAGAAAATAAATTTATACAGAGGCCACTTCACTGGGCTAAGCAGACACCTCGGTAGGGAAAACCCCAACTACTGGCTGCTGAGGCCTCATTATAAGTACCATATTCTAATATATGGCATTATATTGATGAATGGAGATGGACCTTTCATGTGGTGTACAGTATCTCCTCATTTGTTGGGAACATGACGTTATATTGAGGAATGGAGATGGATCTTTCATATGGTGTCCAGTATCTCCTCCTCATTTGTTGGGAACATGACGTTATATTGAGGAACGGAGATGGACCTTTCATATGGTGTCCAGTATCTCCTCCTGATTTGTTGGGAACATGTCGTTATATTGAGGAATGAAGATGGACCTTTTATATGGTGTCCAGTATCTCCTCCTCATTTGTTGGGAACATGACATTATATTGAGGAATGGAGACGGACCTTTCATATGGTGTACAGTATCTCCACCTTTGTTGAGAACATTGGATGGTGGTGTTGGCACATCAATAATATTCTTAGTGACAGTTTTGTTAACTGTGTTCATACTGAAATTTGTCAAGGTCTATATACAAAACAAGGACAAAACAGACTATGCGTAATTGGATGAAAAAGATTTAACCTTCAAATACCAGAGGAGCTCTTTGCTGTAAGAAGTAGAGAATTCTTTTTTCCTTGTTGGAGAAAGTTAGGCTAAGTTTTACATGTGTTTTCTGCCTTTCGATCAACTAAGGGTTTGGGATTTTATTTAAGAGGGTGTAGTGAACTAAAAAATATTTCTCAGCCCGTGTAACAGCATATATGAATACTTTATACTTATAGAAGTCAAATAAAAATGAAAACAGTTTCTGCATTGAGTGTTTACCACTTACTTGTGTCCATATGTGGAGAAGATTCCTCCGGTTTACTTTCCATAATCATCTCCCCCTCCTCCATAGACTGCTGATATTCCTTCACCAGCGACTGTTTTTCTTCCTCTTTAATCTCAATTTTGATGTCTTTCAGTTCTTCAACCTAAACTTCAGAGATGACAGAATACATTTATGAAAAACGAACAAGAGATTACATAGAAGAATGTAATCGCCTTCCTTAAAATCCCACTTGCATTATCATGTTGAAGGATGGTGTGATCTTCCTGTGTGGAATCCCAGGAATAAAGAGGACGGCGACATTTCATAATCATCTCCCCCTCCTCCATAGACTGCTGAGCTCCACTCAACGTCTCTTCTTCTTCCTCCTTAACTTTAATATCTCCCAGTTTTACACCCTAAACCCCAAAGATGACAAAGATTACAACACATTTTTAGGTCTTCATGCTCAGTCCCACCTACCTGATGCTGATGGGGGATGGTGTGACAATCCTGTGTGGAATCCCAGGAATACAGAGAACGAAGACATCTCTCTAGTGGGTTCCCATGACTGGATCCATCTGTAGGAAACACACACAGTGACTGAATCCATTGTTTCTATGTGTTTATCAGATGATGGGGGATCTAGGTGGACCCTCCGTACTGCTCTCTCCTTTACAATAAAGTCTCCTCTTACCCGGTGATGTGAGGGGCGGCTGATTGTCCATCATGACGTCCTTGTAGAGATCCTTGTGTCCTTCTAAATACTCCCACTCCTCCATGGAGAAATAGACAGTGACATCCTGACACCTTATAGGAACCTGACACACACAATGATACAGTCACCATCCAGACACATCCCTTGTCTGTTACTGGAGAATGTCCCAGAATTCCCAGCACCGCTCACCTCTTCTGTCAGCAGCTCAATGATCTTCTGGGTGACTTCTAGTATCTTCTTCTCTTTTCTCTCAGGAGTCAGGCAGTGAGGTGGAGACAATGTGATGGGTAATGCTTCATGAAGACAGGTCTTGGGTGTTAATGGATCACCAGATATTTTCTTCACTACTTTATAATCCTGTGTATAGAGAGAAAGTAACAATTATCATTACAGACCTCCCAGAATCCTCCTCACATCTCCGGTCAGGTCTGTGTTTTATTAATAGAGATAACAGTGATGTCGTGTGACCTCCCAGAATCCTCCTCACCTCTCCTGTCAGCAAGTAGATGATCTCCAAGGTGAGGTCCAATATCCTCTCAGTCATGTGACTCCGGTCCTCATCCATCTTCATTGATATGATCATGTGATCCATAAAGGACACTCCTCTCTGCAGATGGATAATAAACTGAGAATTATCTGGACTGTACCAGGATGAATAATGTCTGCACAGAGTTCCTCCAGAGTTCTGACATATCAAAATGGCTTCTTATACTGTACTACAGGACACTTTCATCTCACTGAACGGAAACCAGAATTCCTATTAAAGCACAACTTTGACCTTTATCTTTTGTTTTAGGTTTGAACTTACTGGAGAAGACACAGGAATGGATAAATGGCTCTATACTTAGGAAGTATCCGGTCTATAAACCAGAGGCTCTGGATGGACGGTTGGATAAATGGTTCTATATTTAGGACGTATCCGGTCTATAAACCAGAGGCTCTGGATGGGCGGTTGAATAAATGGCTCTATACTTAGGATTTATCCAGTCTATAAACCAGAGGCTCTGGATGAACGGTTGGATAAATGGTTCTATATTTAAGACGTATCCGGTCTATAAACCAGAGGCTCTGGATGAACGGTTGGATAAATGGTTCTATATTTAAGACGTATCCGGTCTATAAACCAGAGGCTCTGGATGGATGGTTCAATAAATGGTTCTATATTTAGGACGTATCCGGTCTATAAACCAGAGGCTCTGGATGGATGGTTGGATAAATGGCTCTATATTTAGGATGAATCCAGTTTATAAACCAGAGGCTCTGCAATAAAACGTGGATAAATGTGTCTAAATTCAGGATATATCTCATTTTGTAAATGTACATTTGGATAAATGGCTCTACATATACATTATAAATATATATATATAAAAGACAGTGAAAAATCATCTGCTGGAGATAAAATACATCACAGTGACTATGGAGGAAGAGGACGGACATCACGGTGACTATGGAGGAAGAGGACGAACATCATGGTGACTATGGAGGAAGAAGACGGACATGACGGGGGTGGGGGGGAGGTTACTGGATGTAAATATAAAATAAGAT